CACGATTGATTGATTCATTTTTTCCGGTTTATCAACCCGTTGTGGAATCATAATTCAGATTGTAGTAGGTTGCTTATTGTCCTCGGCCTAAGCAGGCTCGACTGAAAGAAAGATTTGCTGGATTATACAGAAGCGTTAATCGAGATGATTACCTACTGATATTGTGTTTCGAGTGTCGATGTTTTCCTGCCTTCGTCAGGCAACATGCTTTATAAGCGTTTGGTTGATCAAGTCTCTTTTCGATTCATGATTGATTTAGCATAAGAATTCCCGAAGAAGGCTCCGTTAGTTCTTGCAGGAGACTGCACGTAGAAGAGATGAATTCCTACCATTCCAAGGATTATATACGCTTAAGTGAAGGTAAAAAAAAACAACTTGAATTCAAAATCGGCTTTCTATTTCGCATAACTGTTATCTATCTTACAGCACCTAATATTCCCTAACGGTCAGCAATGTACTGACCAGGCTCAATTTTGTAAACGGATGAGAACCGGTCTTTCAATGTGATATGGCCGGAAATTGAAGTTTGATTTACCCGAAAGCAGTAACGTCTGAAGTATTTTTTAAATTTCTCCACGTTGAACTCTGTTTTTTTTTCTCTTAATATAAGACGCACAGAGGAATGCAGCGAATAATGAGCCAATCGAATTTGTGTAAATGGTTGGCAGAACAGAGATTAGGAGAGATAGTAATGAAAAAAAATCCACTAAAAGCTACAAAAGATAGGTAATTGTGGAGAACCCATGATCATAAAGGATACAGCTCATAAGGATACCACCCATACATAAAAAAGAAATTGATATGCCGCGTAGAGTTACTTTTTTTTGTTTTGTTTTGTTTTTTTCGCAAGGCTGTTACTAGATATGAAAAGTTTGAAAGTTATTTTTTCAAGCTTATTTAAATGCTTTCTGTTACGGTCCAGGTTAGAACCAAGGAAGAACAACACCAACACAAGAGTAGAAATAACGAAGGTATATTACACGAAATAATAATACAATATGTGGAAGGTGTTAGTATGACTGTCAGTCTGGTTTGGAGTGAACTACCATCGGCTCGTATCGATTCGACTTTCACTCTTAAGAGGCGTAGTATACATAGTGTTAGGAAGAGTTCATTCTGTAGTTATAGGTAAGGACACATGACACTTTCTTGTTTTAAAATCTTGTACAATATAAATTGCTATAATTTGTGGAAAAGAGGATTTTTTTTCTTATTTAATTCCGACAAGATTTTTAGGATACTTTTCTTTAAATAGATTATGTAGGAACATTATTTTTTTTATAAAATGTAATGTTGGCAATATTTTTTCCCCCCAAATTTTATTGTGGTAATATTTTTTCTTCAAAAATTCATTGCTGGTAATAATTTTTTCATAAAAATATATTGCTGGTATTAAAACCTATTTTTACACTTTCAAAGCGTTTTGGCCCTATTTTGGGGGTTAACAATTTTCCCATAGCTGGGGCCCTAACATGTGCTACCTCCCCGGGTCAGGGTGGACCTGGGTACACCAGCAATTAAGAGGTAGTTTCACGCACATCAAAAACTCCTGATCAGAGGCCTTGTCCTTGGGCGTAGTTTATCGTCATACCCAGGACACCAACATAATAAATAATATTGGATTTTATATAGTCTTTATTCAAAACTTAGCATAAGCTAAACAAATTTACAAATTTGGTATAAAAAAATACCCCAGAATGACACCAAAGCCCAGCAAGTTTATCCTTTAATAATCAGTTGCGGTTATTTCAATTTCTAACGTGTGTAAATCTGGGTAGAATAAAAGCAACTGTTAATAAAATATCAAGAGAAAATTTTCAGGTTTATTTTTTCAACATTATTTAAATGCTTTCTTGTTTTCAATCAGGGCTTTTCGAGTGTATTACACACCGACCTTACTCACGGCATACCGAATCACAATAAAGACTACTATCACCTCACTGTAAATGGTTGGCAGAACAGAGATTAGGAGAGATAGTAATGAAACAAAATTCACTAAAAGCTACAAAAGAGAGGTAATTGTGGGGAACCCATGATCATACACATACTGAAGAATACAACCCATACATAATAAACAAATTGATATTCCGGGTAGTGCTACTGTTTTTTTTATGTGTGAATGGATGAAACGAGGGTGGGATGGTGGGAGGATTGACAAAGGAAGAAACGTTAGGTTAGGGCCACAACAGATAAGACTTTGTTGAGAGCCATGATTCCTCACGTTCTGAATGGTCACGAAACGTAGAAGAAAAAGTTATGTTTTACAGAGTGCAGAAAAAATACCTCCCAAAAATAACTACGTAATGGAAGGACATTATCTAAGTGAACTCAGTATTCCCACTAATGTCTTATCAGGTATTTCTGGGAGGTATTTCCTGAGGTAGTTCTGTATTTTAGAAACAGTTAGGATATCTTCGTTCTTACATTTGCTTCGACAAAACGGAAATTGCTTATTATTCAACGTAATTGTTACTTACTTCGTAACTTGTGCTTTCTAAGTTGCCATACGTTAAGGTTAGGTGAATCCAGTACGTCTGCCGACACTACATTATTTCATATGCAAAGAGGTGACATACAGATATACACGTATTTTTTTTCATATAATTATAGAGACTCAAAGAATATGATGCAGTTGTCCAACGCGACCTCCATTCTTTTCGAAACACTTCTTGCCACCTATTTCAGCAAAATAGTATGTTTTCTTCTATGTTATCAAAGCAAACAATTTCGTTATATCGATCGTCAGAAGCCCGACGTATTTAAGCTGAGACTACAACCGATATTTCTTTTTTTCTTTATTTGTTTCAATTTTCAGTCTTCTTCGTTTCACCAATATTTGGTTGTTGCTGTTTTTGTCGCTTGGGTGACATGAATCCAATTCTAAAATGGCGAAACGCTATCAGCTTCCACAGTTAAGAAAGCAAATGGCATTGTCAAACGCCAAGCACAAAAGAAGGAAACAAAGAAACAAACAAAAATGCCAATATTAAAGTGATCTTTATTACGAGAGATACGGTAAAGAATTCGAATATTTAGAAAAAAAAAACATAAATAGACTAAAATAAATGCCGAAACCAAAACGAATCAAGTGAAAATATGAAAGAGGAATTAACGACACGAGCGTAATATGGTATCTACACTTTTTTTTAGGCAGAATCAGCGCGGATGTATATCGGTGGTGGCACACAATAAATTTAGATGGAAAAATTATGTGACTTCTCTGAGTGCGTGTGTATGTGCACGAGAGTGTCTATTCTATTCTATGATATATATATATATATATATATATATATATATATATATATATATATATATATATGTCATATTCTATATATATATATATATTATATATATATATATATATATTATTATATATATATATATATATATATATATATATATATATATATATATATATATATATATATATATATATATATATATATATATATATATATATATTGTCTAAATTTGTGGAAAGATAAAATAATAGAATTATTGCTTTCAAAACTTTCAAACTTGGAATAGATGAACGAAGGGAAAAAACACAGACTTAAAATAAAAAAGGAATGTAATTTAGAATATTCAACCAGTTTTGAAATATAATAATAATAATAATAATAATAATAATAAGAAGAAGAAGAAGAAGAAGAAGAAGAAGAAATGTTATTTTTTATGGTATCCGATGTTTGTCTGTTTTTGTTTTATTACAGAAAAGATAACGTCATTAATTATTAACGCGAAAAGTGCCTACCTAGGGAAATAGCTCCTTAGTTCACTTCAAACACTCCCCTCGTGTCTTCACTCACTTTTCCCGTCATAAGTTCCATTTTATAAAACATCTGCTAAAACGTCATGTTATCATTTATTCTTCATCTCCTATAGTCAATGAAATCTCGTATATTCGAAGAAATCTCTTAAATACGATACATATCCTTCTCGGGCTACATATATCTATATAAGAAATTTTTCGGTTCTCGCCGGAAAAGTGTGAAAGTTGAAGGGAAAAGAGAGACAAGTCCAACAACATTGATTTCCCGGATACATATATTTGTAAAACAATCACGCACCTATATCCAGAAGAGAGCCAGTGTCACTCCCAATCCCACTCTTTTCCCTCTTTCGATTACTCCTCAAAGAATACGAGTCCAATCGAGGCTTTCATGTAGACGTCATACATAGCATCCTATCTGTTCAGAATTGTCTAAGCTCTTTCTCGTGGGGTTAAAATCGGTTCGAGCGAATTAAACATTTAGGTTTTAACGATCATCCTTCTTGGAACTTCATGGAATGACTCTGCACAATCAAAAGCAAAGAACTGTACCAAATAACAGCAAAATATTAAATGTATATCGCATGTAACACGAAGATATTGACGTTCCACAGAACTCCGATCAAAAGGTTAGGAAAGAAATCTCCATCATTACTAAAACAAAACAATAAGAAATTCGACTTATTTTCAAGAAAATATTGTTTGGCTAGAAGAAGAAAAAATCAACCGGAAGTAGCACTGATTGCTGGGATAATAAATGCCAAATGTTTCCGCATGGAGAAACGGCTAATATTACAATCACCATTTGTTATTTTGACAGGTTGATTCTACACCCTTCTACAAGGAAAAAATCTGTAAGGTACTATGATTTTTGTTTTTATTTTTAAAATAGACTGGAAAAAAGAATGGTTTATATTATTACGAAAATAATCGAGGTCGTCTATACAGAAGAATGCGAAGAATCTGACGATTTAAAATATTGAAAAAGTAATTTTTAAAAGGTCTTATACTTGTTTCGAAAGAGAATAAAGCACCAAATCGATCTCAGTTACAGAAGAATGGTTTTGATTAATACGTAAAAAAGGTAATAAAACAAAATAAAAAGGAATGACTAAACGAAAGATATAAATCAGGAAGCTGTGCGGGAACCACATTAAGGCGACCGGAAGAGAACGAACGATGGAGAAGAAAGAGATGCGTGTCTAAAATTAGTAGCGCAAAACTGGAAATGTCAGTGCTTAGAGTGTTGTTGTCGCATTGTTGCAGGCCGGCACCGTTGTCGACTGACAGAAGCCATTCTTGGCTGGGCTCAACTCCATCGAGAGATTTTAGACGGAAATCTAACAAGAAATCAATAAAATGGACGAAAGAACGACTCGTTCGTTCGCTCGCTTTTCGTCATTTTACAATAAACAAAACTGCGTTCGACGGACTGATCGACGTCGTCCTGTGACCGTCACGACACAAGAACATAGCAAGGACACATGACAACTCGTAGAAATGCGGTCTTTGTTTTAACGTTTTTGGTTTTTGTTCTTTCTCTTCTGTCTTTGCTATTGTTTCTTTCTTTGACTAGAATCCATGTTTTAACTATTCATTCTTACTGTACTGAATCTATCATTCCTGCCTGCTGAATATTTTCTAAAACTTTTTTTTTATATTTGTTTCGCCTTTTAAGTCTCCTTTTCGTCTTTATCTTTTCAATCTTACTTGCTTTTTTATAGTTTTCTACTTCTGTTTCTTCTATTATTTTCTTCTTCATTTGTCTATTTTTCTCGTATTCTTTTCTTCTCTTCCTTGTCTTCTTTTTCGCTTCTTCATATTGTTGTCAATCTTTTCCCTCTTTCGATTACTCCTTCATCCATTTTCTTCTTTATTTTCCTCTTCCTTATATTTTCCTTTGATACTATTTTGTTTTTCTTTTACTTTCCCCCTCTTATTACTTATTTTCCTTTCTTTCGTCACTTGTTCATTTCATTTCTCTTATTCATTTTTTTCTACTTTCGCTTTCAGTTTCACATTCATTTTCTCTTTTCTCATTCTTCAAAATGTCTTCTCTTTCATTCTATATTCTTCTGGAGATTTTCTTTCTTCATTTTTCTCCTTCTGACACCAGTTGTTGAAAATTACTTTCTTCTTTTTTTTATGTTTCTATTATCTGCTGAAATTTTTCATTCATGATATTTCTTTGATTTAATATTCTCTTCAAACCTTTTTTTTCTTTTCTTGTATTTTTCTTCATTCTACACTTTCTCGTTCATGCTTGTTTTTTTTTTATTCGACTCGTTTTTCGCAACATATTATCATTCATTAGCATCTATTTTCATCTATATTTTCTCGTTCACACCTTTTTTCTACTCGTTCTTCTATTTCTTTTCTCGTTCATCGCTTTTCTCTTTCCTCTTCTTCCATTTTTTTTTCATTCAAATTATTTCTTCAGTTTCATCGTTTTTTTTTTATTTCCTTTCCCCCTACACAGTTTTCATTTTGTTCTTTTTCTGGTGTTTCCATTTTCTTCTTTTTTTCACTTTTTTCTTCATTTCTTTTCTCTTTCTCCGGCATATTTTTATACTTCATTGCCTCGTGAATCTATTCGTTTTTATTTTTATTTTCCCAGTCATTCATTCCCTTCTAATTGTTCTGTTTTTTTGTTCAATTTCTCATTCATATCTCTTCTTCATTTTCATGATTTCTTTTTTTTTCATTCTTCTAATTATTCTCCAGTTTTCATCCCGTCTTTGCTGTTGTTCTTTCCATTCTATACTTTACCTTTCTTCTATTTCTCCTACTCTTCTTGCTATCTTATTCTTCCCCTTCTCCTATTTGTCCTGATATTTCTTCTTCTTCTTCTTCTTCTTCTTCTTCTTCTTCTTCTTCTTCTTCTTCTTCTTCTGCTGCTGCTGCTGCTGCTATTCTTGTTCTCATTCTTGCTCTTCTTCTTCTTCTTCTGCTATTTGTTTTTCTTGTTTTTCTTCTTTCTTCTTCTTTTTTCTCCACTATTTCTCCATTTTTTCTTCTTCTTTTCCTCTTCCTGTTATATTCTCTTCGTCTTCTTCTTCTTCTGCACCTGCTATTTCTTCATCTATTTCCTTTTCTTGTTCTTTTTGTTCTTCTTCTTCTTCTACTTCTTCTGCTATTTCTTCATTTTTTCCTCTTCTCCTCCTCATTGTATTTTTTCTTCTTCTTTTTCTTCTTTTTCTATTTCTACTATTTCTTCTTCTTCTTCTTCTTCTTCTTCTTCTTTTTCTTCTTCTTCTGCTGCTGCTGCTCCTCCTCCTCCTGCTATTTCTTCTTCTTCATTTTCATCTTCACCTTCTATTTTCTTTTTCTCGTTCTTTTTGTTGTTGTTGTTCTTTTCTTCTTTCTTGTTTCTTTCTTTCTTTCTTTCTTTCTTTCTTTCTTTCTTTCTTTCTACTGTTTTACTTCCTATTTGCTTTTCCTTCTTTTTCTCCTCTTCGTCCTCCTCCTTCTTCTTTTCCCTTTCTTTCCGAGTGATCTTTAAAGAGTCATATTTAACTGAATTCTACACAGGCCTAGCTTTATATACATATGGATATTCAAGCCCAGTTCACTACGGAAAGGATCAGTGACACTTACTGTTTTTGTGTTACATTAAACAAAATCCATTGACTTCCTGCATTAACTTCAGAACAAGATTAAATTGTTGAAAAAAATATCACATTGAAACTAAAACTTCAGCATTGCTCTTATACAGGCATTCAAATCTGGCAAATAAATCAAGAAACTATAGTCTGACACGTAGTTAGTCAGAATTTTCACCTGCAATTTTCTCTGTCTAATGTTTGGTCACCCTCAGGGATATTAATCTCTTCTGATGAGAATAAGACTATTCCATTACTACGTGTTACCGCTATGAATTCAGTAGCTATTAGGTTGATTTGGTTTTTTACATGTCAGAATTGTCAGCCATACGTCGAAACAGGTTTTGAAATTAGCGTTGCTTTACTAAAATTCTTTCTTTTTTATGTGCTGTGTCTCTTCAAGACGTTGGCGACAATAGTCCTCCAATCCATCCTGTCCCTGAAACTCTTAAGAAACTTTTTTCTTTTTCTTTTTCTTCCAAACCCTAACCTGTCATCCATTTACTCAAGTGCTGATTCCTCTGTCCCTATTCCCCTCTATCAATCCTGTGAGTATTTGATTTTCCGAGCCCTCCTTCCTCATTACGTGCTACAGATATTTCAACTGTCTCTTCCTCATGTTAAGGATATTTTTTTGTTTCCATTTTCACTAAATCTTCGTACAATTGTCTCTTCCTGATGTTTAAGTATGTTTCCATTTTTTTTTGTTTCCATATTTTCTCCTCAATCCTTCGTCGTTGCTCATGTTAAGTATGTTTTTTTGTTTCATTTTCTCCATGGTATCGTTCTCACATATTCGAATTCTCAGCATCCTTCTGTAGAAATTTCAACTGTCTCTTCCTGATGTTAAGTATAAGTTTCCTTTTTGTTTCCATTTTCTCTAAAACTTCGTCGTTGCTCACATATTCGGTCCATGGTATCCTCAGCATCCTTCTGTAGAAATTTCAACTGTCTCTTCCTGATGTTAAATATAAGTTTCCTTTTTGTTTCCATTTTCTCTAAAACTTCGTCGCTGCTCACATATTCGGTCCATGGTATTCTCAGCATCCTTCTGTAGAAATTCCGACTGTCTCTTCCTGATGTTAAGTATAAGTTTCCTTTCTGTTTCCATTTTCTCTAAAACTTCGTCGTTGCTCACATATTCGGTCCATGGTATCCTCAGCATCCTTCTGTAGAAATTTCAATTGTCTCTTTCTGATGTTAAGTATAAGTTTGCTCTTTTGTTCCCATTTTCTCTAAAACTTCGTCCTTGCTCACATATTCGGTTCATGGTATCCTCAGCATCCTTCTGTAGAAATTTCAACCATCTCTTCCTGATGTTAAGCATAATTCTTTTTTTGTTCTATTTTCACTAAGTTCTCGCCGTTGCTCACATGTACGGTCCATGCCATCCTCAGTATCCTTCTGTAGAAATGTCAACTGTATCTTCCTGATGTTAAGTATAAGTTTCCTTTTTGTTTCTTTTGTTTTGTTTCGTCGTTGCTCACATACTCGGTCCATGATATCTACAGGATATTTCTATACAACCCAATTCTGTTGTTTCAAGTCTCTTCTTCATCTTGGGGGTGGGGCTTGTTCAGCATGCGCTGCCACACAGGAGAACAGATATCACGTAATAGTTCAGTACTTTTTTCTATGTTAGTAACGACATTTTTCTGTTTCTTAATACACCGCTTAGCTTTAAAAAGGCATCTTTGGTCATTTCAATACGTCTTTGATTCTCAGTGTTGTACTTTTTCTCCTTTGTTCGAACCCTTACCAGACCGATAAATTTCTGCACTTGCTTGATTTTGATATCTCCAACCTGTAATTTGCATTGTGAGCCCACATTTTAACAGATAACCATGTATCCTATTTTCTTATAGTTTATGCTTAGTCCTTTCTTACCGCTTTCCTTCGTTGCCTTCTGTAGGATGTTTTATAATTTCCTTTCCGTGTTTGCTATCAGCACTTTGATCTAAGATTGTGGCTTTCAATAATGAATCCTGATGGGACTCCTAATTCTCTCAGAACTGCGTGTCCTGGGTAAGACGATAAACTACGTCCAGCAGCAAGGCCTCTGATCAAGAGGTTTTGAGAAGCGTGGAAACACCTCTTAATTGCTGGTGTTCACAGGTCCACCCAACCCGGGGTGGTAGCACCTGTTAAGGTTCCAGCTATGGGCAAATAGTTAAACCCAAAACTGAGGTAAAAAGCATCATGAAAGTCTAAAAATAGATTTTAATACCAGAAATACTTTGTAAAAAATAACTATTACCAGAAATAAATTCTTGAAGAAAAATAAACGTATTACCAGCAATACGTTTTTGAAAAATAAATTACCAGCAATACATTTTTGAAACAATATTACCAGCTATACAATTTTGTGGAAAAAGATATTACCAGAAATAGATTTTTGACAACAGAAAAATATTACCAGAAAAAAAAAAGCTGTCGGTATTAAATGACACATTGGGGTTGATATACACTAAAACTAAACAAACCAAACCAAACCAAACCAAACCAAACCTCAGAATTGCCTCGCTGTATAGGTTGAGTAAATCCGGTGAGACGTTACCTCCTTGCCTTACACACTTTTCTATTTCATATTTGAAGAAGAACGCAACGGACTTGTTGAAATTTGTAC